TTCTCTATGCTAAGTGAATGAAGGTGGGCTGAAGAGCACAGATTTTAGACAAAACGGGAAGAAGCCATGAGCTGGCAGGCCCAAGACAGAGATGGCCCAGGAAGCAAGAGATAGGGCCTTAGCGCGTTTCTCACATCATTCCAGGTAGGCAGCCACTTGCTTTGCCTAGGCATGGGGCCAGCTCTGGCAGGAGGTTGGGTTAAGGCCATTTGCATGTCTGTTTTTAGGACATTAAGTTGTGTCAACCCATACAGAATGAAGAAGAGATCAATGCAATCATGAAGAGAACTTCATTTAGGAGGAAGAGGAGGAGGGGGAAGAGGTGGAAGGGGAAGAAGACAAATTACTTGCTTTCAATGAAGTACAATTTTTATTTTCTGTAAAGTGTGACAAAGACATTTTTAGAAAAAATACTTTAGGGTTTTGGTGGAGGGTTGAGAGTTTCCCTGGAGTGGTTCAAGGAATAATAACAAGAACAGAAGCACATATCAGCTACATTGCAAACATAATCCTGGGTAGGGTCATGTATGTGTTATGTCACTTAACCCCACATGCTCTATGAAATGGAGCTGGAGATGTCATGTGCATGACCCAATTTCTCAAGGCCGATAACTGGCAAAGCCTAGCCTTAGAATCGGAGGCTGTGATTCGAGTATGTGGAAAGACCAAAAAATTTTAAACAGTGCTGGCAACTCTGTGTTGAAACTCTTCTATAAATAGTTCCTTGATTATTTCTAACTCCCATTGACTTGGTACAAATGCAAGCTATTCAGCAGTGTGATACACATGGATGTTTCCTTTTCAAAATATTGCACAAATACATGATTTCCTCTATCTGGCTCCCATGTAGGAGAAGTAGGAAAAGAGCAGGGTAATAGGAATTTACCTCTAAGCTATAAAGCCTTCCTATCCTTTCCGTAATCACCAGGAGGAACTCCTCGTTACTAAGGACACCACAACAGACTCCATTAGATTCAAGTACAACACTTTGGTTGCGGGGCTAGAGAATGTCAAAAAAGCAAAGGAAAATATTATCATTGTTGAAATCATTTGATGTCTATGAGTAATAAAGCGCATGTTGGAAAACTGAAGTTTTAGAAATATTCAAAGGACTTGGTTAGAACTATGAATCAAAAGCACAGAATAGTTCCACCTGAAGAAAAGAGAAAAAAAAAGACAAAGATGTTAAACTATTGTAAAATGTATCTGAATAACCAAAAGGACCCAACAGAAACCTTAAGCAACCACTCTAGGTCCTTTATTCAATTTTTAAAATTTAAATTTCCCCTCCCTTTGCCCTTATAGCTAAATAATAAAGCTTATACCTTTTGAGTCATGTTATCCTTGAATTCTAAGGGACCTACAGGTCTTCTCGGCTTTCTTATCTAACATCTCACAAGTACCAGGATTATCCTTAAAGAATCCCTGACAAACTGTACCCACCTTAGAAACTACGAGGGCTGAGGTGTCCATTCATGCATGTACCGTGCCTCTCAGGGGCTGGAGCAAGCCAGAGGTAGATAGACTTGGGGCTAAGCCAGACCTCCCGTTACCCCTTGACCGATGTCCCAGAGGTTACAATGGGCCTGCCTGAAGATGTTCACCCCATCCGTCCCTGCTTGACCTCTCCCAGAGCGGGAGGCCTTTGCCAGGACCCATCCCACCTTGTTATGTGTGGTGCAGCTCTGATCATTGGGGATTGCTTCCTTGTGCTGTGCCAAAATCTGCTTTCTTGTGTTTTCTACCTGTTGTTCGCCATGGCATCTCTAGAACAGTGCTGTTTGACTTAACTTCCTCTCTCGTGGAACAGTCTCTTAGGTAACTGAAGTCAACTGTCACGACTCCCCTGCATACTGCCTTCTCCAAACTAAATAGCCTCAATTTCTTTCTCAGATCATAAGGCAAATATACAACTATTATAACAATAATAAGAGTCAGAACATATAATCACCATAAGAGAATGGCAAAAAGGTGGTTTGGAAATTAGAATATGTTTTAAGTGAGCTAATTTTTTTTTAATTTAAGATCTGAAATATTTAACTGATACAGAGAAGCACCATCTTTTTACTGAGTTCCTGCACTCTATCCATCAAGTCATCCTATCAAAACAAAAAGGTAGCTTGATAAGACTTTTTCTTAGTGACACCATGCCAGCAACTTGTGATCATCTATCATCTCTCACCAAGTTGCCTTTATTTGTTTGCTTTTGTTTCTTTACTATCAATGCCGACTTTGAAAAAAGTTTCCAGAAAAGTACTTGTCGGCATATGAACAGTTGTGACATGACTACAAAATTTGAATACCATCTATGAAGAATTAAAGAAGGAGGGAATGAAAGAGAAGACAATGTGATGACAGAAGCAGAGACTGGAGTGATGTGCTTTGCAGATGAAGGAGGGGCCACCAGCCAAGGATTCCAGGCAGCCACTAGAAGAGTTTAGACCAGGCAGCAGCAGAGCACGTTGGTTCTTCCCTCCTCTGGACAAGCATCTGGCCAGCCTCTGCCTCACACTGGGCCCAGGGTCGTGGGCCTGCCATGCCCCGCAGCATCGTCCCTAGCTGGAGGGACAAACTCTGCTCAAGATGCGAAGAAGCATAGTGCCTATGTTGACCTTGGGTCCAATTAGCACTTTCCAATCTTACGTTGTTAGAGATAAATTTCATATTTTGATCCCCCCCACCAAAAGAAAATGAATGAAAGGAGGGATAATGTAAGAAAACTAAATCTTTAGTTTTTCTTCTTCCCAATATTTTATTAGTAAAAATTCCAAACATACAAAAAAGTTGAAATAATTTCATTGTAAACAGCCCTATACTTAATAACAGGATACTGAAATTAAGTTGTTTTGTTTTTTGTTTTTTTTTTAAGCTGAGCCATCCTGCCACCAGTTGGCAGCTCAGCAGAAGCTCAGCTCAGGCCGGACTCGAACCGCTGTTGCTCAGAGCGCGCACTTTTGAGCGAGCTCATAACCAACTGAGCCACTCGGCCGACCCTGAAATTAACATTTTGCTATCATCGATTTATCAAGTATCTCTCAGTATCCATCAACCTGTCTTACCTTTCTGCACATATCAGTGTACGTTGCATTCATCAGTACCCCTAGCCCCTAACACTTCAGCAAGCATATCATTATCAGTTCTTTTCTGACACTTTTAATTAGTCCTCTCTTCTGAAGCCCTGTTGCTAATCTTTTCTTCATTCCCGCCACTGTCTCAATTTTTTTACTCCTGCACCTTTCCTCCCACTCTCTGCCCCCGAAGTTCTAAGTGGTAAGAGGAAAGCAAGAAACATCTGAGCATGGTGTCGCCTTGAAGTAACACCAGGAAAGGTCACTGATGACCACCCAAGGCCTCGCAGCTGTCGCTATCACAGGCTGGACGGACGAGGTCCTCATGAACGAGCTGACGCAAACTAGTTTACAAGAGAGGGAGGCACAGCGTAGCATGTCAACTTAATAATGTACTATGAGAAACGCAGCGATCAAACACCCAGGCACGTGCATTTCTTGATCAGCTCAGTCTCTCCCTGAACTAAGCTCCGCGACGAGGCCAACTTGGGAAGGGTTTTGGTGAATAGCGACTCAGAGGAGGGAATTAGAAGGTCTTAGTGGCATGAAGCAGAAACCTTATCAGAGTTGATGTTTCACCAGCTGGCCAGCACAGTGCCTGGCAGACATCAAAGGGGTGCTTCATAATTAGTACGATGACTAAATAATGAGCACGTGAATACTACCTACCGCTGTGGTAGAGCTGCCACACAAGCCAGGCATTCGTCTTATGGCTCAGGGACCTCTTACCCAGAATGCGCTGGGTGAGCCCTTGACTACCATTCTCCTCTGAATAATGCATTCTCTTTTAGCTGTATGGATGTCATTAATTACACTTTCTGTGAAGTCCTAATCTTCCCACTTTGGTATGGATGACAATCGTCTTTCAAATGGGAAGTCTGTGTCTATCTAATCCCATCTTTGATACACTGATTTTACTGGCTTTACTCTTATAAAAAGGGAGTGATTCCCTACTGCCGAACTGTACTCCTTTCAAAGATCAGGGGATACCATCTTCCATGATGAGTGAAAACCATTCTTTTCCCTATCTTGAGATTTCTGTCTGATAGAAAATGTTAGTGATTTATTTTCTGGGCTTCCTAATTACCAGCCCACCAAGACTTGGCAAGGCAAGCTCTTTAGTGGGACGGCAGCCACATACCAGTGCAAATGCCGCACTTTTCACAACAGACAGCTTCTCCACAGTTGCAGATAAATCCAATTTTGACAAACCAAATTCATTTTGAAATCCATAAAAGAAGCCTTCTAGCTGTAAAGTCTCAAGGTGAATCCTTCGGTTACGTAACAATGTTACATACACTTAATGTAGTTCTTTCAAAGTTTGAGATGTCTTAAATCAGATTATTTTATAGCAAGGAATTCCTGTCCTCTGTTGCTTGAAAACTGTTCCTACCCCTGGCCGCTTTCCCTATAGAGATACCATAGTAAATATCTGTAAACCGCAGCATTCTATGTAGCACCACACCCTTTAGAATTAATTTGAATGCAAGCCATTATGGGGTGAGGGTGAAAAATGACGCAGAATCAAGGCTCTAACTATTTCGTGAGTCTACCTACAGATTGGGGAGAAAAACAGATATTTTTAGGCATTGGTACCCCAGTGGTAAAAGGCCAACTGCCAGTGAGAGTTTTTCTCTAATTGCCTCTTTGATAAGCAACCAAAACACAGGGTTCAGATCCAGATAAAAACCCTTGGAGAGGGTAAAAGATACTGTGGTGCAGAGAGTGGGTTTGGATTGTTAGGGATTCAAATGCTCTGACAGGAGCACATGCACTCAGCTTCACAGACTTTAGACAGAACTTAATCCAGATAAATGGAGCGTTTCATCTAAGCTGGGCTTCAAAGACCATGTTTGTTCAGACATCATTAGACTTTTTATTCCTTTGATGCATCCGTCTCTACTGATAGAAACTCTTTTTTTTTTTTTCAAGAAACTAAAGCACAAAAGGAAACTGAAAAAGCTACAAACTGATTTGGCAACAGCGAAGCAAGAGGCTGCCATCACAGTCCTGGAACTCAAGGAGAAGATAAAGGCTCTATGTGAAGGAAAGCCAGCCCCTAGAGGTCAGTATTACCACGTGACAGTCATACTGGCCTATGGTCCTGGGTGATGCATATAGTTTTATTGGCACCAAAGCAAAAAGCAAGGCCGCGGTGCCAAGCAGAATACTGGCCCAGCAGCATGCTGACCTGGCCTGACCTCCATTCTGCATGAATGGAGACAGCACACGAGCTATTAACACTAGGCTGGGTTCACTTTCACTGTAAGAGAGGCAGAGAATGAATGAATAAATGGCCCTTTAAAGGAGGTCTCTGAAGCTAAAGAGTTGGACTGAAATAGATCTGATAAGCGTCCTTGCACAAGCTGGGTGGCAGTGAGGAAAGGGCAGG